TGATGTTAAAGATCAGCTTCTCAAGGTGATACGTGGCTCAAAACACATGTCACTGCAGAAAACATAGGTGGAATGAATACGCAGCTGCAATTAAAATCGCAGGTTCTGCCCATGTGATTTTCCATTTCACTCTGTGGAGCCGCATCTGGCAAATCGTTGATGCCTATATATACAATATAAATATATAATTGCATTTGCCATCGTACAGTTGTAAAACCTTCCAAACACAGTAGTATCTAAAGAAATGTTCCTTAAACATTACTAACATAGAGCTATTTTGCGCCTCATCTGATAAATGAGGAATTGAGTCTGCAGTAAGTAAAATCACACCTTATTCTAGGTTATTCAAAATGTAGGATTGTGGCATACAACAGAAAACCCAAAGTGATGGCTTTACAGTAAAGAGAGATATACCATTTTCATGGACTGGAAGGTTCTGTGAGTTCGCATGATGTTCCTTTAATGAACTTTGTACTTTTTATAAGATAAAACGTAACCACTTGAAGTGCGTATTTTTATGACTTATGACAAATGTATACCTCCACAATGGAGACATAGAACATAACCACCAACCCAAATGTGTTTCTGGAACCTCTTTGCAGCTCATCGCTGCCACCTCCAGCCCCAGGTGACACTGATCTCGTCTCTGTCATGGTGAATTAATTTGGCTTATTTGAGAATTTCCTAGAAATGTACTCATTTGTGTGTTCTGGATTCTCTCACTTAGCATACTACTTTCGAAATTGATCCAAGTTGAATTTGTAGTTCATAATATATGATTACTAAGTATTATTCCATGATATGGGTATATTATAATCTTTTATTTATTCACCTATTGAATTCACATTTGAAATTTTCAAGTTGTGGCTATATGAAAGTGAAACTTTTTATGGGCATATTTCCATCCTCATGAGTATATACAAGAAGTATAATTGTGAAACTAACATAAGATTGTGTCAACCATACTTCAATTAAAAAATAGACATAAAAAATGCTAAAGAAGAAAGAAGACCCCCTCCATAAGAGTATAATTGTTGGGTCAAAGAGTAACTGCATATTTCACACTAATAGGAATTGCTAAACTACTCTCCAAAATAGATTGAACCTTTACCACTCCTCTCCACAATGTTCCAGAATTCTAGTACCTCCACAGTCTTCTTTTTTTTTTTTTTTTAAAGATTTTATTTATTTATTTGAGACAGAGAGAATGGGATACAGAGAGCATGAGAGGGAGGAGGGTCAGAGGGAGAAGCAGACTCCCCGCCGAGCAGGGAGCCCGATGCGGGACTCGATCCCAGGACTCCAGGATCATGACCTGAGCCGAAGGCAGTCGCTTAACCAACTGAGCCACCCAGGCGCCCCATGTTTAATTTTTTGAGGAACTGCTGTACTAATTCCACAACAAATGCACCATTTTACAGTTTCAAGAGCAAAACACAAGAGTTCCACTTTCTCTGCATCCAGGCCAACATTTGTTATTTCCTGCTTTTTGTTTCATTTTGTTTTTTTTTTCATAATTGCCATCAGAATGAGTGTGAAGGGGTTTCTCATTGTGCGCTTGTTATCTGCATTTTGCTGATAGTAGATGTTGAGCAGCATGTCATGTGCTTAGTGGTCATTTGGATACTTTTTGAGAAATATCTATTCAAATCCTTTGTTAATTTGTAAATACAGTTGTTTGTTTTTTTGTTGTTGAGACACAATTTTTTATACAATTAGGTTTTGTTTGTTTGTTTACTTATTGCTTTGTCTTGAAAGCCCTTGATATATTCTAGATACAACTCTTTCATCAGATACATATTTGTAGGTATTTTCTCTCTGTCACTTTTCTTTTAGCTCCGTTAATCGTGGCTTTTACAGAACTGCAGGTCCCTGTTCCCCAAGATGTGTGTCATGCCCAAGGTGACCCACTAGTGCATCAAGACATGGAAGAGCAGAGTAAAGAAGGTCAGGGGGCCAGATGGGGACATATGGGGTGGAAAAATCCCTTGGGCCGAGCAGTGGGCTAAATAGTAACCCCAAACATACCCAGGTCTTAATCCCTGGAAACTAGATGTTACCTTACAGGAAGCAGGGTCTTTGCAGTTGGGATGAAGTTACATATCTGGACTGTGGGGATCAACCTAGATTACCTGGGTTGGGTCCTAAATCAGAGTGTCCTTCTAAAGGGGAAGCAGAGGGTGACTTCCTGCACACAGAGCAGCATTAAGTAACATGACCAAGACCCAGAGTGGAGCAGTGACACCCCAGGTTACGGAATGCTGGCAGCCACCATCACGGGCAAGAAGCAGGAGAAGGATTCTCTCCTTGAGCCTCTGGAGAGCATGGAGCTCAACCACTCTTGATTTCTGTGCAGCAAAGCTGCTTTGGATTCTGGGGTTCAGGACATAGCCCACAAGATGTGTCACCTTGGCATCGTGACCCTTTCAGGCTGAAGGATTTTGAGAAATGGCAGGTGGAGGAAGGACTTTGTGACTTTTCCCTCCCTCTACCCAGAGGAATGGAGCATCACATGTCTGATGACAGGTGGACCCAGAGAAGGATCTGGCAAGCAGGTCTCATCAAGTCCCTCCAGTTATTACCCACAGTCAAACCCTTTGTTCTCCCAGGTGTGGCTCCAACTTTTCACTCTTCACCAAATCTAGCAAAACCGCCTCAGGTTTAACTGTTTATTTGGGTCTTCATTTCCTTATGAAGGTTCCTGTGCCACATAAATCTCATATGAAATACATTCGTATACTTTCCTCTGATTCACCTGTCTTGTGTCACATGGTCCCAGGGAGATCTCCCAGTAGAGGGGAACAATGTGTCTCCTTCCTAACACAGCTTTCTGACCTTCCTGTGAGAGCTTACATTTCTTTCTTTTTAAGACCCCAGGAGGGTGGCATTTGTTACAAGGGCCCCAGGAAGCTAATACGGGTGGGAAATCAGAGATGCCCCCTCCAGGAGGAATGCAGAGAAGGACAGAGAACAACCCGCATCTCCAGACACTTGCTCTGTTCCTCTTTGCAGCAAAGTCCTCACAAGGTTGTCTGTACCCCTTCTGCCATCTCCCCTGAATCTCCTGAACTTGCTCCAACCACATCTTCACCCCTTTCCTGCCCCTTTTGTCAAATCTGCCATTCTTGGGTCCCCAGTGACAAACGTCTCTCCAAGTGCCTCTATTTTTCTATGTGCAGTCAGTCCCTTTCCTCCCTATCGATCATCCCCTTCCAGGAGCTGCAGGATTTAACATCTCTCACCTGGACCCCTCTGCTGATTCCAGGCAATCACAGCCTGTGCTCCATCCCTGACATTCTCAGAATGAGCATCTCTAAAGTCCTTGACTCCATCCTGCCAGATGCTCAGGGAAGACACTGGGCATCATTCTTTCTCCTCTCTTTCGCCTACTCCCCACATCCATTGGAATATCCTGCTCAGTTTATCTTCATAATATATCCAAAAATAAGTCCCCACTTTCTCTGGTTGGAGTCAGCATCATGTCCCACCTGAAGTAGCCAGCAGTGCACTTCCCCATCTCTGTCTTGCTGTCATGGACCCACTCTGGCTGGTCCTGAGCAAAACAGCCATGGGGATCCTATTGAAAGGAAAGTTCAATCATATCTCTGCTCTCCTCAAAGGCTTCCAGATTTCTTGCATTTTCTGCAAGGCTCACATGGTCTGCACCAGGAAAATGTCTGCATCCCTATGGTATCTGCACTCCTACCACTGGGTCTCCACCCCCATGAGGTCTCCACTTCCTCAAGGTCTCCACACCCTTGGGGTCTGCATCCCATGGGGTCTGCACCCCCATCCCACAGGGTCTGCACCCCCACCAGATCAGCACCATCGTCCCAGCATCCCCACCTTGCATTTTTGTCCTCTCAACCTCAGCCTCTGGTTTCCACACCAGCCCTCCTCCTGTCTCAGAGTTACTTCACTCACCTTTCCCCATTTTCCATTTTTTGGGATAATTTTCTCTCAGGCAAATATAGAACCTGCTTTGTCACCTGCCTTCAAGTCTTTGCTCAAATGTCACCTCCTCAACTCTTGGTTATAGAACATCGTCCCCAGGATGTCACGTGTTCCTCAGTCTGCATGGTTTTTCTGCAAACACATATTCTACCCAAAATGCTCTAATATTATTTCTTATTTATTTCTTTTGATTTCTTGTCTCCAGAATGACAGGTTCTTGATGACAGAGATTTTGCTGTGTTCACTGATGCACCCCAAACTAGGTGGCATATAGTACGTGTTCAATAGTACTTGTTGAAAGAGTCTGTTAATAACTGAGTACAACTTGATTCAAAATCATGTCACACACACACACAGAGCTGGGTGGCTTTTAAGACTGAGCCTGAAGATGATTAGGACTTGGAGATGCAGGATTGGGGAGGAAAGGGCACTTCAGGAGTAGGAAAGGCACATGCAAAGTCTCAGATCAGGAAAACCCTAACCCAGCTGGGTGTGGAGATGTTGCAAGATACAGGGAGAGGTAGAGATCTCGTGGAAGGTCTAGCGGGGAATGGACCATGCCAGGCCTTCAAATCCAGCTTTTTGTACCTTGGTCTTGACTCTGGAGAGAGATCATAGCTGTTCATGCTGTGGAGGAAGTGGATGATATTGATCTCCTAAGACTCAGTGAGTTGAGGAGAGAAGGGGAGGCAGGAGGCTGGTGGGTTAGAGGCCCAGAGAAGACAGGAGGCCATAGGAACAAGCAGTGTCAGGATGGGGAGGAGACTGGCATCAGGATGAGCTTAGGAGGAAGGAAGGACAAGACTGAGTGATGTACTGGATCAAGCAGAAGGGAGGGAGGTCACAGTGGAGAACCACACTGCGGTTCTGGTCTAGAGATAGGAGCCATGTCAACCATGTGAGAGAAACTCAGCAGGGAAGTAGGTTCGGGAGGAATGAGGTAGCTCAACATTGGCCATGCTGAGTGGGGCAATCCTGGGGCCATCCTGGGGGAGGTGTTGGTGGGATCTTGGATGGTGAGCTGCCCACATCACTCACCTGAGGGATTAACTGGGGGCCATGTTTGCCTCCGCCAGGTCCCCTGCAGGCCTGGCTGTCTCCTTCCTGAGGAACTTCCTTCTGAAAGAAGAGACCAGGGTCTTTCAGTCTAATCATGTGTGTGCAGGGTGAACTGACTCACCCTTTTCCCAGTTAAGGGGTTGGAGGGCTGACTGAGGTGGGAGAGGGTAGGTCTGGTCCCACAGATCACCTTGAGCTCAGCAGGCACATCTCATCGTGGACACAGGGTGGAATCCTCACACCTGGTGGGCTTCCCACCTGCCCCATCCTCAGCCTGTTCAGTCCCTCCCGCACTGGTTCTGGGACTCAGTCACATGCCCCCACCCTCCCCACCCCTCCCCTTCCCCTGGGGCAGTGCTCACATGAGGATGATGAGGCAGAGGAGGAGCAACAGGGTCTTGACAGCAGCTTCCCCAATGGCCACCAAAACCAATTCTGCCACAGGCCCTGATTTTCCTGTAGGGACATTGGACGAGGACAGATTCATGAGCTTGAATGCAACCCTGTGTCCTTGACTCCCAGCGGGGCTCCGGACATTGGTTCTCCAAGCCTTCCTTCATCACTGGATGTGGGACCACCTGCGCCGGGGCCTCAGGCCACCTCATACACTGCCCTTCCAGCAGTAGGACTGGACAAATATGCATAAGCTGGACTTCATCAAAATGAATCCTCTTGTTCGTTTGATGCTATTTAGAATGTAAGAAGGCAACCTACGTATTGGGAAGAAATATTTGCCAATCACAGATCTGATAAGGGGATAGTATCCAGCACATATAAAGAACACTTACAACTCAACCACAAAAAGGCAATCAATCCACTTTAAAAATGGGCAAAAGACTTAAAAAGTTTCTTCAGGGAAGATATATCAATGACAAATACATCCATGTAAAAATGAACATTAGTCATTATGTAAATACAAACCAGACCACACTGAGATATTCCCTCACACCCACTGGCAGGCTATAATTATTTTGAAAAGGAAAATAACAATGTTGGGAAGAATGTGTAGAAATGGAAACCCTCACACACTGCTGGTGGGAGTGTAATAGGGTGCTGCCACTGTGGGAAAGAGTCTGGCATTATCCTCAAAAAGTTAAAACATAGAAACTAGCCTTTGACCCTGCATTTCCACTCCTCGACATATGCTCCCAAATACTGAAAAGAATGTTCAAACAAAAACGTGTCCTTCAGTGTTCATAGTAGCATTATCATAGCCCCAAACAGAAACCACCCATATGTCCATCACCCGATCAGTGGATAGATAGAATGTGGTACATCCATACAGTAGAATAGTATCCAGACAAAAAAGAATTAGTACTCATACATGCCCTATGGATGGCCCTTGAAAACATTTTGGTAAAAGGAAAGAAGCCAGACGCATAAGACCATAGTTTGTAGGATTTCATTTAGTTGACATATCCCCAGTAGGCAAATCCACAGAGACAGAAGGCAGATTCGTGGTTGCAGGGGTCAGGAGGAGGGGGAATGGGGAGTGACTACCTAAGAGGTAGGTGATGACAGTGCAGGGTGGATGGAGTCAGCTAGTGGTGATGGTCTGACGACACTGTGAATGTCCTGAGAACCACATGTTTTGCACTTTGAAATGGTTAAAATGGCAAAGTTCATTTTAGGTGAATTTTTCCTCAAGGAAATAATACTGCATATACATAAAAAATACTGGGTGGAGATAGCAGTTGCCACCCGGTACTGGCAAAGATCAGAACATTCATCCCATGCAAGCTTGGTGAAAACATACACTTTGAGCCCTGACTGTTGGGATCATAAACTTGTCCACCCTCTGTGGAGAAAATTTGGTCCCGTCTCTCAAGATTTCAAAGAACCTGCGATCGAGCTATTTTGGTTTTAGGAATGTATCCCACAGACATAAACACACACACACAGAATGAGATGCAAGACTATGGATTGCAGTGTTGCAGTGTTTCTGTTAGTAGAATAAAATGAATGCCATGATTTCCCATTAGGAGAAGACACACACAGAATCATAGTCTACCCACGGGGAGGAATACTGCACAGTCTAGGAGAAGATCGAGGGCAGTCTGCACTACTGATATCAGAGGACCCTCAGATCCTCTAGGCAAACACACCAAGGCTCAGAGCAGTCTGTGGACACGGGTCACTTCCCAGGAGGGGACTGGGTATCTGAAGACAGATTCTGCTGTGCATTTTGAAAGTCTGTCTATGTGAATATATTACCTGTTCAGAAGTACATAAATAAGCAATTATTAGGGAGAATAAAAGATGGGCCAGGAGGAGTCATCAGGAGATGCATGATAAGGGGCAGATCTGCTGGGTGCATGTTGCCCTGTTCTCCTCTTCTCCTGATACCGGTGGGGGGGTGGTGTGTGCAGATGTGGTGGGAGGGGGGGCCAATGCGGACAGCTGCTCACAGGGCCATGGGGGCTGGGGAGGGGGAGGAAACACTGAGTTCACACATAGGGGGTCCTGGTAACCAGGGTGAGTTTAGAAAGATGCAGGGACCCAACTCTGGCTGAGCTTTGAAGAGCCCCACTCTCTATACCCTGGGAGGAGGCTCCTTCCTACCTGTGGTGTGTCTCAGGTAGACACCAGTTGTTGGGTTCTGTGTGGCACCTGGGATGGGAAGAGGGGATTTTCCTCTTCAGTGGGGTGGGGTGAAGTGAGATACATGTAAGCATCCCCCTACTCCCAGAAACCACAGAAACAAGGAGGGACAGGGCTTGAGTCCTTCTAGGTCTCACACTCAGTGACCTCCAGGACTAAAGCACGAAGCATCCCAGGCTGGCCTTCCCTCCCTTCACCCCTTCAGGGACCTGGGCATCCTGGCCCCATGCTCACAGGTGACATTGAGCTGGACGGTCCTTTCCACCATCACACCAGCTGCAGGGAAGTGCACCTGACAGGTGAGGTTGGTGCCATGGTCCTGGGGCCGTGGGGTGAGGGTGAGCACCGAGGAGAGGTGGGTCCTGGGGTCCAGGGAGGTGAGGGCCACTGACGTCCAGGAGAAGATGGGAGGTGTGCCCCGCTCACAGGCCCAGGGCACAGAGCAGGTCAGGTTCCCGGGGCGGCCAGACTCCAGGGTCCCCGGGATGAGGATGTCAGGTGTGCGGGTCAAGGCTGTGAGGAGATGGGGAGACACGGGAATCAGAAGGAGGGTCAAGGGGAGGCCCCGAGAGAAGTCTCAGGATTTGGTTCAGCTCCTGCCTCTGAGTTCTGACATGGGTTACCCCCAGTCCCTCCCAGGAAGTGAGTCCCATCCCGGCTCTGACCCAGGACCTCTGTCCTTCTCTGTGGCCTCACCTGGAGTCTGCTCCTTACCGGTCACACGCATGGAGAGCTGGTTCTGTAGGTAATTATATTTCACATAAGACCCTCTCTCCACCCTAAAGAAGTATGTCCCCGAGTCCCTTCTCTGTGCATCTCTGATGTCCAGGGAGCAGTTGTCGTCCCGGGGGTCCCCGAGGAGGTGGAATCGGCCCTGGGTCTCCTCCTGCACGTCTCGATCGGGGTTGTTTGTGGCCACTAGAACATCCTGGCTGTGATCACTTCCTTCCTGGAACCAGTAGCCATAAGCTGGGTCATCGTCAGTGTAT